AAAAGCCATATGTTTGGTATGTCTTCTGACACAGTGCTAGCTACTTACCCTAACTTACTGGTTACAAGTGATTCGATTTACATATATATATTGTTTTCTCTTTTTTTGGTTTCTGATGTGTTGGGCCTCAACAGTCATTTGCCTGTCTCCAAAAACAGCAGGAAGCAAAGCTACCATTTCTGAAGTTTCCAGGAAACATAATATATTCGCACAATGAAAGCGATTGCAATAGTTTGTGTGAAAACATCAGGTAATGAACGCTGCACGTGCATGGGCATCGATCTGCACAACAATTAATAATGACCATCAAGCAATAATTAATTACTCAAAATCAAATCTAACTATTTTGATTCTTAAATCTTTATTTCTATTTTTAAAACATGAATGAGAAAGTATTAATACTTGTTTTATAGATGGTCATGGTGAAATTCTCAGTTATTTTGACCAATTGCTCTATACAAGTATATAAATTGCTTTTGTTTTTGTGTTTCGATAGAGAATTATAGTGTTATTTATTTCATTGCATTAGACAGGAAGTAGAGAGGCTGCCTGAAGCCCGGCCTGCAGGAGTTGATATTGAGTGGCCAGTGTCTTACAACAGAGGCCAGCAGGATAAAACTGCTGTCTTACAGATTTGCACGTCACTAGATACCTGCTTTGTATTTCACCTTTCTTGCATGCAAGGTACTGTTATGTACTAATGGGTTCATTTAGATCTATTTGATGTACGATGAGGTGAAATTGATAAAGAATCGTACAGTTGAATAGAGCCTCAGCATAGGCATTTAGTTCTGCAAGACAATTTGTAACTACTCGAGTATAACTAATAACTATACCTTGTTAGTTCTTCAACTTAACCTAAACGTTTGTTGTACAGGACTGTCAACAGAACTAAGAAAATTGCTAGACTGTGACAAGTTGATTAAAGTAGGGTTGGGCATACATGGGTGAGTATCAACAAGCATACAATAACACATTCGACATTTTATGTGTCGATAACTAGCTGTGTTCGAGGAGAGGGGTGACAGTAGTGGTTTAGTGGTTAGCGCAATTGGCTTTGGGCTGAAAGCTGTCTGTAGGGTTTCTTATACATAAGAGGCATAGTGGCGTACTGCCATTGTCAAGTTTAACATCGCTGTTGTGAAAATGTTCTTGTATTTACCCGTCGTTGTCAAAATAGTGTCAACCCAAAAGTAAATAGATCACCACATGCTTCTGGCATATTTAGATTGCCATGTGCGTTTATTGCGCACCTGCAGCGTCCACATGCGTGCCTGCATACAAAGTGCCTTTGAATCCATCATGTGTTTTTTTTCCCCCAAACTGGCTTTGTTTAATTTTCCCTCAGAAGAAACCCTGGTCTGTGGTTCGAATTCCATTGTGGTCACTGCTGTTGTGCCCTTGAGCAAGGCACTTTATCCCAATTTCCTTTAGTCGTCACTGGCTGTAGAAATGGGGTTATGTCACCAGCATGAGGCTATAACAACATCACCCACATAACAACAAGTAGATGCATGTGCTGTACAAACTTGTTACAGAACCTTCCGGGGGTGGGGGGGCACTCCTATTGTTAAAGGTACTGGGAACGTGCCGCCGGACAGGGTATATTTTCCGAACATCATTATTGACACAGGTTATCTAGATACCCAGCAAGCAAGCTGATATTGGCCCAATATTAGCAAAACAATATTGGGCCAATATCACGAGGCCAATATTCGACCAATATAGGCAGATATTCGTCCAATATCGGCCCAATATTGGCAAAACAATATTGGGCCAATATCACCAGGCCAATATATTGGACCAATATAGGCAAGCCAATATTGCAACAGGGTATACATTTTAGTACAGTATATTGGGACAGAGTGTATTTTAGGGCGCAAAGCGGTTTGCGACAGGGTCATGTTTTCAAGGTCCCCGAGGCACCTCCCTACCCAGTTCCGAGGCGAGTGCCCCCCTCCTCCAGGGCAGAAACCAAAGCAATAGTTTCCTTGAGCCCAAGCTCCATGATTATAGTCAAGCGCATGTTAAAAAACGTAATTCAGCACTATTCCAATGTGAGGAATTTATTAATTCAGTTAGTGTTTAAATGAATTCATGCCCCCCCCAATGGTAGTTCTCTTTATAGGTATGCAGTTTCCTTTAGCATGTCAATGAAGTTCTACTCTAGGTGTGATTGCTCTTCATTGTTACAAAACCAAGGCTTCTATCTAATAATATTAGTCTCGAAAATAAAAATAAAACAATTATAACAAATTTCAACATTTGTCATGATCTGATTTGGAATTTTAGTCATTAACATTTTTCAATAACCATTCGTCATAATCGTTTATAATTTTTCGTTCCAGTGACTTGTGGAAGCTGGAAAGAGATTTTGATCTGTCTGCTAAACGCATAATAGAATCCAGTACCACAGATCTGACAACGTTTGCTAATACGGTTTTGAACAGCGCAGAGAACTGGAGTTTAGACAGACTGTCACAACACGTGGTAAGAATTGGTTTTCATGTGTTGTGTTGTTGCTTGGTTTACTTAGTTTGCTTAACTTTGCATTCCCTACATTAATTGTATTGGATGGCTTAATCTCCAATAATGTCACGTGGCAAATCACTTTGTTCTGTTATGCAGTTATTTTACTAATACTAATCACAGTCATAATGTTATCTGAACATAACACTAGCAATTTCCACATTATCCAGTTTTGGTCAAAATGGGAACGTGTGAGTTACATCTAGTGATTTGTGAGGATGTAATTCAAACCACTCTTCCTGTATGGTGATGGTATATGTGACACGTACTCAATCAGGGTGCGAAATTAACGGGAGTCTGAAGTCATATACTCCCTGATTTACTGTCGGACGCCCTGATTTGATATATGCAGGAGTCCGTGTGACTTCCTGAAAATTCTGCCATACTAACTAGTTTGTTCCAGAGCATGGCCTCGCGGAATTACCATATTTTTTCAGCTAATGTCCAAAGAAAATTTGGCAGACGTGCAACCGCATGAATCTTAAAAATAAGCACATGCGTTATTGTTAATATCTTTAATTTTGAACCTCAGACTGCGGACTCCCTCATTTTGCTGTGGACTCCCTAATATTGAGAGTATAGGGAGTCCGTTGGACTCCCGTCTTCAAAAGTTAATTTCTACCCATGCTCAATGATGCACACGGTTCATTACAGTTAAAAAGGAGACTGGTGAAGGATTCTGATGTTAGGATGAGTGACTGGCGAGGTTTTCCCCTGTCAAGCACACAGCTGAGTTATGCTGCCATCGATGCTTATGTAAGTAGAAGAGACTCGCAGGGTTTCTTCTACATAGAAGGCACAGTGGCGCACCGCCGTTGTCAAATTTAACATCGCCGTTGTGGAAATGTTCCTGTATTTACTGATAAGTATATCCTGTATTTGAATCCATCATGTGCGTGTTTTTCCCAAACTGGCCATTATACCTCCTTTGTCTAATTTCCCCTCAGAAGAAACCCTAACTCGTCAGTGTGCCATTGTCATGAGTCCTTATGGGACTAAATGTATTGGCAAATTCTCACCTGATAAGTTTCTCAACTAGTTAAAAATCCAAAAAACCGGGACGATTTGATATTATGATCCTGACAATAATTGCTTGCTATGGGCATAGCTATGGGCTATGTATGAGTCATGAGTGTATGTTTAGATCGAACAATATAGTAAAATAGGAAGTATAATGCAGCAATTTAACCATAAAAAGTGAACAGAATTACTTAACTTTGTGAAAAAGTGGAAATATTTTTTAACTTTTGCCATTTACGGTGACGTAATCACTTTAAGAGTGTATGAATGCATATCTATATATATATATATATATTGATAGATAGATATTTATGTGTGTGTGTGTTATGTTTTATTATTCAGGCATCTTTGCTAATCTATTTGGAGTTGCAGAAGATGGAAAAGAGTAACGGAAGTCATTGACTTACAACAGTGTGAGGCAAGTCACAGCGTGGATTCCTTGGATTTTCTTTGGTTCTGGGAGTAACACTTCCTAATGCATGTTTAATCATTCCTTTATGTATTACTGATTAAATGTGATGGTTTCTTTCATAATCAATTCGTGCTTGTGTTATATTTAACTGCTTTAGCTATGCTTATTCTGCTTGGTTCCTAGTTATCTAGTTTTAGAATATGCATCTTTGATCTTTCTTTAATATTTTCACGTTTTCTGCTAAATTGTATCAGGTGGCTAAGGGTGCCTTCAAAATCTAATGACTCTTTTTATATCTGTTGATTTTGCGCCAGTAGTGTGAACATACTAAAGGCCTGTTTTACTTAACAAAATCCGATTGCTTGTTGAAGTCAAACAATTTGTCCAATATTCCGTACGGTGCACAGTGGTGACCTGGTGATGGTTTCCAGTGTACACCATGGATTTTCTAAACTTTATTAGCACTTTTTTTAATCAAAAGATGAAATTTATTAGCAATTAGATGAGAATTGAGTGGCAAGTACTGCATTGGACTCGATCTAAAAATGTAAAAATTATTCTTGAAAATGAAAACATGATCCGATTTCTATGAAAATTAAACGTCAGTGAAAAATACAATACATTCCAAGTTACGGCAAAAAAATAACCGGTTCGCGGTTTGCTAATCCATATGAAATATGATTCGCAAAAGCTTAAAATTGATTCAAACAGTGTTATGCGAACCTGCTTACGACGTACACTGGCTATGCCAATAGACTATTCACCTCTACTCTCTCTAGGTCAGGCCATGCATCTCTCATTCTCCTATCTGCATAGCCAGCATTATCTTGCTGCCACTCATTGGAACCACTTGGACAGTTCCATGTTCTGCATAAGTGTATGTCTGTGCGCTCGCGTCCATGTCTGTGCGTGAATGCGTACGCGTGCGTGTGTGCTGCTATATACACCTTCATTATATTATTATCTTGGTGCGTGATTGATACTAATAACCTATAAGCTAGGAACCTACATATACATCCCACAAATAGGTGCTGCGTTTGGATCATGTTGTCATGACAACGCACGAGCGTGCCTGTGCAATTGCAGCTCTTGTCGGATGCTTTTGATTACTAGTTGCCTATCGGAGGTGCCTCACCTGACAGTTAATGATGCTCTTTATACATTAGCAGTAAATGCCTGTGATGGCAGTGATTGCAGTGGCTGGCTTCGGTGACGTACAGGCGCGCGGCTTTTCCGGTTCACGCGTAAGAGGGGAGAGAGATCTTAGAGGTTCATCAGGCATCACCTAAAAGGTTTTCGTGTCATCAGTTCACTGTTGCGGCGGCGCGAGAGCGTTGCAGGGTTCCCATGGTCATTAAAAGTCATTAAAAGTCATGGAAAATGGATTTTGGTTTTCCAGGCCTTAAAAAGTCATGGAAAATTAGGAAAGTCATTAAAAGTCATTAAATTTGAGATTTTTCTGGAGCATTTTCTTCTGTAAAGTTTTTGTAATATTTGAAACATTGTGTCTCAAATTTTATACAAAAGCTTTTGATTTCAGGGTCATGCATTATGTTAAATAAAGTTTATTAACATTTTTTCGAAATCGATGCACTGATGTATGATTCGTTATTATATGCAAATTCTTCTCAAATTAGTCATTAAATTCGGAAATTTTAGTCATGAAAAGTCATTAAATTTCACTCCAGGTGATCTGTGGGAACCCTGCATTGTAATGACCGAAACTCAACGTGCTAACCTCCTCTATCTGCTCCGGCTTCTCCCCCTTGCACGACCACTTCGTAATTGACACGGAGGAGCATCTGTTCCATTAGCGCAACTAGTTTTCGTATATTGCGGGTGATGCTCCATTAGGAGGGTTCCCAACTTTACTGTCATCAATGTCGTGATATAAAAGAGATATAAAGGGGGGGGGGGCGGATCGATATATTCAAGAGCTAATAATACCTTAGCTTAATTATAAGGTATTATTAGCTCTTGATATATTGCGGCTGCTGCTCGAGCACTAGCGCGTGCGCGTGGTCAGGACAAGCTTGTATGTGGGCGTGCATGCAATGATTACTGATGTCTGATGGCGTTATACACGCGCGAGGTTCTCATCGACAGGCTTTACTTAGAGTGTCATTCCTATCTCTGCTGCGCTCCTTCTTGGACAGATAATCAGCATGGCACAAGGGAGTTGAGCAGCCTCTCTCTCTCCCTCTCTCTCTCTCTCTCTCTCTCTCTCTCTCTCTCTCTCTCTCTCTC